GAGAGAGAGAGAGAGAGAGAGAGAGAGAGAGAGAGAGAGAGAGAGATCGAGAGAGAGCGCGAGAGAGAGCGAGAGATCGAGAGAGAGCGCGAGATAGAGAGCTGTATACTGTTTTACTATGTTCAGTTGAGAAACGCATGTTTATTATATTCACATACAAATCAATGCTACATTGGCAGAATCACATGAATTCACTAATTAGTAATTGCATGCCTATTTAATAGGGCAAAGGTCTACAGATGACATACTGGTTGGTTGGAAAGGAGAACTATGACAAATCTCTCTCCAGATTCACGGAGTAAGTAGCAGGCATATGTATATATGTAAAGGGAGAGAGACTTCCGACGTAAGCGCGCGCGTGTATATGCGTGCGTGCGTGCAGCCTATATATATATAGGCTAATTATATAGTAACGTTGCTAGAGATTTTTTATCTACTAGCGCTTCGTGCGTGCGTGCGCGTGCGTGCGTGTATAGACGCTCGCACCGCGTGTACATCTCCAGCCTGTTCTGCTAGCATCTATGACAAATACGACATACGCATATACGCTCTCCTATGACACTATTTTTGGCAAATATTGTTGTATGTGTTGTGCGCATCATAGGAGTTTAGGAGCGCTATTATAAACGCAAGCAGTGAATTTCAGCTGTAAAGCGGAACGAAGTTGACTCGCCAATATTAGTCATAAGAAGAATCTTCCTATGACAAATAGTGTCATAGGAGAGCGTATACGCGTATGTCATAGATGCAAGCAGAACATGTCGACATCTCTCACGCTGCGTCCTGATAGACTGACTCCGTTTCCCGCTTTGCCAGTGACGCAGCGATCAATGCGTTTGCTGGTCAGGAGACCACGGCGGATGAGGAGAAGTCTAAGTCGAACGGCAATTGACGAGAGGGAATGAAACTTGTCTAACTGCGCGCGAGAGAGAAAGAGAGACCGGAGCTGCGCACCGGTAACGCCTTCTATAACTTACCCACTTCTTTTTAGACTCCATACCTCCCCTCCCTCTCCTCCTTCCCCTCCCTCTCCTGCTCCTCCTGCTCCTCTTCTTCCTCCTCTCTTCGACACTTCCTACTTCTTCTCCTCCTCCTCCTTCTCCTATTCCTCTCTTCGACACCTCCTTGTTCTCCTCCTCCTTCTCTTCCTTCTCCTCATTCTCCTCCTCCTCCTCCTCCTCCTCCCCATCTTTTTCTTGTTTTTGTTCCTTCTCCTCCTTTTTCTACTTCGCCCTTTCCTCCCCTCTTCCTCCATCTCCTCCTCCTTTTTTTCTTCGCTATATACATTCGTCACAACGCGTGCTTCTATGTTGCTACTATTATCCGTTGCCGTTGTGCTGTTGCTGTTGCTGTTGCTGTTGTTGTTGCTGTCGCTGTGTGCCGTTGCTGTTGCTGTTGCTGTTGTTGCTGTTGTTGCTGTAGTTGCTGTTGATGTTGATGTTGTTGCTGTCGATGTTGCTGTTGTTGCTGTTGATGTTGCTGCTGTCGCTGTTGCTGTTGCTGTTGTTGATGTTGCTGCTGTCAATGTTGATGTTGTTGATGTTGCTGCTGTCGCTGTGTGCTGTTGTTGATGTTGCTGCTGTTGATGTTTGCTGTTGTTGATGTTGCTGCTGTCGCTGTTGCTGCTGTTGATGTTGCTGCTGTTGCTGTTGCTGTTGTTGATGTTGCTGCTGTCGCTGTTCCGGTTGTTGATGTTGCTGCGGAGCTTGTGCTTGTTCGTGCTCATTAGAACGTTTCGCTCAAAGCGGCATAAATGCAAAGCTGGACGGAGATGTACTTTTGTAAATAGTGGTCTTTTCCTCTGCGTATTTTCTTCAGGCTCATCATTCCGATAGCGGAAGAGACGACCATAGCGCCAGCTGCACCCAGAAGCGTAAGCCGTACCTGAAACAGAAACCGAAACGCCGAAGACGCATATCGTGAAGATTTGATGATAAAATAGGAATAAAATAGGAATAAAATGAATAATAATAAATAATAAATAATAAATAATAATAATAATAATAATAATAATAATAATAATAATGATAGTATTAATGCGTTTGCACGTACATGTGTGCGTAGTTAAATGTCACAGTTTCAACGTATAATTAGTTGTGAATTGTAGAAATCTTTCAATCATACCATTGCTATGACCAATTTGGTTCTTCCACCTATTATATTATCGGCAATCGAATTCCTCCAACTTCCTTCGCTTTATTCGAAAGGCGAACATCCGCTCTGTATGTCCATAAACTAGTTACAAATGGAGACCGCAGTGACATCGATGGCGCCACCTTCCACGCAAAGCGGTCAATCTGTGTCAGTTATAGATATCACGTAATACTAGATGGGCCTTGACGATCGTGTATAATTATAATCATAATCATAATATATGTATAAAAATGTATTATATATCTATAATTATCGTATTATGTGATATCTGTGGTGACAGAATTCTTATCCAAATCAAGCTAAAGTTAATATAGCATTCGAAGCTATATTTTATGCGCGACTGAGTGCTAGTGAAACATCTAACGGAAATTGGGAGCGTGCATATAACGTTCGCGAGTATATATATCAGTGTGCGTATGTATAGCGCGATTGAGATGAAGCTTAGCCAACATGTTCACACCTGTCTCGCCACCATTCATGACTTACCAGTAAGCGACCCTAAAGCGACCATGTACAGGGCTAATATTGCTGTTAAATGACCCCCTCCCGTGCTGTTACGTGTTCTCTAAGCTGCTATGAGTAATCAGGAGTCTATCAATATTGGATTAAACTCCTGGACTAATTACATAACAGAGTCATTATTAACCTCCTGATAACACGTGCGTACACGATGTATCCATGTTTATCGCGTATACCTGAACAGAAAATTAAATTCTCGTTTCTATAGTGATAGCGACATAGCTTCTTCTCACCGAACACTGTGTGTCTGTGTAATCTACAAGATTTTAATATGAGTCATTCCTCGTCATTCTCAATGTTTTACGCATAGCCCTCCCACGATATCGCGTGTGCATATAGATACCTGAGGTAAACTGTTTGTTATTATTGCTAATTAGACCTAATACTGTACAGCCGTCACGAGCGCAGGTATATAGCGATTGCCCTGGGCTATGCCTCTGTACCGAGATGGAAAGAGAGAGAGAGAGAGAGAGGGAGAGAGAGAAAGAGAGAGAGAGAGAGAGAGAGAGAGAGAGGGAGAGAGTCAGAAAGAGAGGGAGATAGAGAGAGAACTCAAAAGTATACGACAACTAGCGACTAATTGGATCCACGATAACACACAAGCACCGCATGCACACAGGTTAATTGCGCGTTATTATAATTCAAGTAACGTCGTGCATACAATAAGACATCACCCGAGGCAGGTGCCGCTGCGGCAACGCGTGGTTGGCGCGCGTGCGTGCGTGCGCGCGCGCGCGCGTGCGTGCGGGTGTGTGCCTGCAGCACGCAATTACTCTTTCAAGCCCACCCACTCTCTTTATTAGCATTTATTCGTTTAATGATCCACTATATTGCGATAGTCTGCTATGAGCTCATTCAATATGATATTTGAGCATTATTCGTGATTTGTGCACATCACGTTTGCACGCGTACGTACTCAGACATTGTCCATGGATCAGAATCGAGACACGATTGATTTTCTCTTCGAGGTCAGAAGCAGGTAGATCTACGCAAATGGCAACTATATAGTAGATGGTTATATCTCTTAGCTTGCGGTTTTTATGCGTGCGAAGGGAAAAGTTGACGGGCCGAGTGGCATCATGAAATAACAACTAGTAATAATGTGTTAAATAGAAGAAAATGACTCAAATATTATTGATCAAAACTAGTCATTAGGCGCATATAGATATCAAAGACCCCACCTCCACACACACACACATATATATATATATGTGTGTGTGTGTTTGTGTGTGGTGTGTGGTGTTGTGCGTGTGTGTGTGCGTGTGCGTGGTGCGTGCGCGTGGCGCCCGTGCAGCGTGTGCGTGTGCGTGTATGCGTGTGCGTGTGGCGCTGTGCGTGTGCGTGTGGCGGTTGTGCGTGTCGTGCGTCGTGGTTTGTGGTGGTTTGTGTAGGTAGTGTGTGCAGTGGGGGCGGGGGGCGTGTGTGTGTTTGATCGGTTGCTATACTCACACTGGAAATTATTATGATTAATTCTGATTACACGCCAAACTAAAACTAAACTAGTGCTGTGGAGATTGTGTTCACAGCACTAACGTGGTACGGTTATAGTAGTACGTAGTTGGCAGCCGTAGCAGCAGCGATAGTAAAGTAGTAGTAATATAAGTAGTAGTATTAGTTAGTAATTAATCGTTAGTTGTAAGTAAGTAGTATGTAGGTTAGTAATGGTAGTAGTATATAGCATTAGTAAAGTATAAGTAGTAGTAAGTAGGAGTGAGAGGAGGTAGTAGTAGTTAGTATGAGTAGTGGAGTAGTAGTAGTAGTAAAAGTAGTAAGTAGTAGTAAATCAGCATTAGTAGAATTAGTAGTAGTAGTATAGTAGTTGAGTAGTCAAGTAGTAGTAGTAGTAGAGTGTTATTAGTAGGAGCAGTAGTAGTAGTATAGTATGTAGTAGTAGGTAGTAAGTCAGTAGTAGTAGTAATGGATGTAGTTAGTAGCATAGTAGTTTTAGGTAGTAGGTCAGTAGTAGTAACTTAGCTAGTAGTAGTAGTCAGTAGTTAGGTAGTAGTAGTAGTAGTAGTAGGTAGTAGTAGTAGTAGTAGATAGATGAGTAGTAAAGGAAGCACAGGCAGTCAGGCAGCAAGAGTAAGCAGCAGTCGAGCAAGAGCAACGTTCAGCAGCAGCAGCAGCAGCGCAGCAGCAGCAAGCAGTAACTTCAGCTAGTAGCGCGCTGCATGGTAAGTCAGAATAGCTGTTGTTTTCGCTGTCGTTTGTTTGCTTGTTTTGTTGTTGTAGTTGTTGAAGAATATGAATAACGTGAAAATACACTCAACCGCCGATGACCATCGAGAAGCAAAAGTGAACAAAATAGTTTAATCAATAATCAATAATCAATAAATCAAGTCCGTCGACAAAAACATTAGTGACATTATGTAATTCGTGAATGTGATGGAAAAGTGCACGTCATCAGTTGCGAATGCTAGTAAAATTATGCAAGCAACGAATGTTAACGCGAAAGTGTACATGACTAGTTGTGAAATGATAGTGAAAATATGTAATCGTGCATGAGAAATAGATGTTTTAGAGCCGTGATAATTCATGCTCTTGTGAAAGCTGTAGTCGATCATGCCTCACACGCGCACGCCTTGTGTGACTTGTCGTTCC